TATTCATGTTGAGAAAAGTATATATAAATCAAATATATTTTTCTGGAGATTGTACATAATCCAGCAGAATCATCCTCTATTAAACTGAAGTGGGTAAGAGACAACTATTAGCATACAGTAATCACATCAGAGAAAGGCATTTCCATTGGGAAACCCAATGAAACTATTTTTAATGCCCCCCCCCTTCTTCCCCCCATAGGCCGGCTGAAAATATGTTTCAAAAGGAGAAGACAAAAATAAATCTAGCTTCCAGTTTTCTCTTTCATGTCATGAATTTTATTTTCCTCCCCTCTGAGTTTTTTAACATTGGAAATGTCATTTATGCAACCATTTGGTGGAGGCTTAAAAAAAAAGATGAAAGGTGTATAAGAATTGGCAGACCATAAAAAAAAAATGCATGTTCCTTTGATAGGCAGTTCACTTTAACAGATGGATTCTGTTCCTGAGTAATCAGGAAAAGGTCCCATGCCATCTGCTAGGATTCCAATGAACTTTTGTGGAGACAATTGCATTTCTGGGTGAGTACATTCCATTGAGGTAAAGAGAAATGTGCTTGTGAAAGTACATGTGTGTGTCTGTGTGTGTATCTGCCTGTCTGTCTGTGCTTGTGTGTGATGATAAAATATATGCTATATTTTCTCCCAAATTCTTAAACTGATTAAAAATTTGAACAATAATAGAATTTTGCATTATGCATCTAATTATGGATATGAATAAGGGCACAGATAAGGAACATTTTTCAATTGGCTAATCCAGAGGACCAATAGGAAAACAAATTCAGCTACAAAGTTAAGGCTAGCATGAGAGCCACTGGAATCTTTAGTTACTCCTTTTTGTTAATAATAGTAGTAGTAATAATAATAATAATAATAATAATAATAATAATAATAATAATAATGGCAAAAGCAAGCAAGGGTAGTACCAATAGTAATAGGCACCTTGAGTGCAATCCCAAAACAACTGGAGCGCCACTTGAACACCATTGGCATTGAAAAATTCACCATTAGTCAATTGCAAAAGGCGGCCTTACTAGGAACTCCTTCCATCCTGCGACAATATCTGTAATAACATCAAACATCCACATCTGCCTATCCCAGATCCTTGGTAAGGACTCGATAGGTAGACAGAATGCCAAATCCAGTCTGAACATCTGGCTGACTGTGCGATGATCAATAACAACAACAACAACAACAATAATAATAATAATAATAATATAGTAATAGTAATAATAATAATAAAGTTGTAAGGGACCTTGGAGATCATCTAGTCCAACCCCCTGCTCAGGCAGGAAACCCTATACCATTTTGGAAAAATGGCTGTCCAGTTTTTTCTTAAAAACTTCTAGTGTTGGAGCATTCACCACTTCTGGAGGCAGGTTGTTCCACTGGTTATTAGATAGTCTTTGTCATATTCCTCTATGCAGCAGAGGAAACAAAACATTGAACAGTCATTCTAAGGTCATTGAAACAACTTCATCTTGCCAATATTATATAGTTTGTATAGAGACCATATTTCTGAGATTTAAATCCTGCTACTGCAGCCGTATGTATGATGTTTTATTCATTAGGACTTTACAATGCTTCATTTCAAAGCTTGAAATCAAATTTCCAAATTAAATTGATACATTGATTTGATACACTGAAATGGATCACTTCATTTTGTGAAGTGATTCTAATCGATTTGAAGATTCAGTGGTCTTTTTAAAGTTCACACACATACATTATCCAAATGAATCTTCAGATCCAATAATTCAATGATTCAATTTATTAATTCAGACCACACTGATTCAACTGAAACAGTCTCATCAAATTGCACATTTAATTGGAACTAAGCTAACTTACTCCTTTGTTTTATTCATTATCTTAGGAAATCTACTATTTCTCATCCCTCTGGACACTTCTGCAAAAATAGATATAGTAACTTGCCTCAGAGAGCAGTTGGAGTGCTGAATGAAGATTTACAATTCTCTGCCTATAAAAATGCTAATACAACCAGCCAATGTCAGTAGGATCACTATCCTTTTATTTTATTACAAAGATGACACTTCCTGTTATTGGATTGCAGACGTAGTCACTAATGCCATGGGCAATAGTAATGCATTCATTATTGGAAGAACATTGCTCACTCCATAAAGGATGTGTGTATACTAAATGTCCATGTAGAAAAATCTTCACCAAGAGTACTGAGAGTCAAGGGAGAAGGATATTTTGTTTTTTATTTCTGTGCTCACCTAAATTACTGTCAGGAAGTTGTGTCAATGGTATCAAGTATGTGTTGAGTCTTAGGTTCATTGAAAACCTGACCTTGTGTTTGGCAATGCAGACATTGCAAAATAACTATTGACGTAGCTGTAAATGAAGGCAGGTGGTATTACTAAACATATCACTGTGGTGTGGAATTTACTATTATGTTGCAATTCCAACAAATACATGGACACTTGGAGAAGGTGGGGATCCGCTGTCTGGCATTAAGTCTATTATGCACCTGTATAGAAATTTGTAGATTTACAGGTCTGAACATGAGGAAAAGTATGGCTTTTGCAAATTTGATTGAGAATAATTTTGCCCACCTTTTCCCATGTGTAGGTTAACATAGAAACCTTCTTGGATGTATATAATTAAAGTGCAAATTAACTTAGGCACTTCGACTATTTCTGTTTGGCAATCCAGCCTTAAACTAATTTCTCACAGGAGTCTTTTCATTGTTCTTCTATTATAGGGCTGAATAAGGTGATCTCGAACATTTTTGGCAGATGAAAACTATGGAGCCTATGGGAAGTTGCCATTTTCCCAGCACCCTTATTGCATATTGCAAAAGAGGGATGGGCATTCACTAGAGCACTTTTTCAAATGTGAGTAAGTCTTGTGATGTATTTCCCCAGCTGCAGAAAATATATTAAGCAATCTGTTCTTTCTGTATAATATCACAGGCTGAATTATATCAAGTGGAATACTACAAGATAGACAGCAACTTTTGCATTTAGTTGACTAATGTTATACTGCAAGTAGAATCATAGGGATAATTGAACTTTAGGAAATAAATAAAAGTCAAGAACCTGACAATACTACTGCTTTAAAAATCTGTCAAATTAACCCTTTACATCCCATCAACAAAGCTTATCCTACCACAGTTATGAATTATCTGAGTTAGCATTGAATTGTTAACACCTTTTATTAACATTATGGCATTTGTGTATTGTGGTTGGTTGCACAGTCAGCCAGATGTTGGGAATGGACTTGGCATTTTTATCTACCTATCAAGTCCTTCCCAAGGACCTGGGATAGCATATATTGCTGTTTGGTGGTGATAAAGGTACCACTTGCAGGATGTAACCTGTTCTGAATAAAGCTACAGTACCTTTTTCAACTGAATGATGGTGATGTTGTCAATGCTGATGGTGTTCCAGATGTTTAAGGATTGTACCAAAGGTGCCTATTACTATTAGTATTATCTTTGCTTTCTTTTGCCCAAGTCGTTCTGTTTCTGTTTGCAGATCTTTGTGTTTGGTGACTCCAGTTTTTTTCTCTTCTCTTCTGCTGTCTTCAGGTTCTGCCACAATCACTATCCAGACATTCTTGTCTTTCTTATTGACAATTGTTAATTCTGGGGTGTTACATGGTTAATTCTGGGGTGTTACATGTATAAATTCCAAAATCTCTGAGCAGTATTATTATTATTTGGTTTGGATCAATAGATCAATGGGTTTTTTTGCCAACTATGCTACTCTTGATGCTCTTGACTCTAAGACAGGGATCTTCAAACTTGGCTGCTTTAAGACTTGTGGACTTCAATTCCCATGGCTGGCTGAGGAATTCTGGGAATTGAAGTCCACAAGTCTTAAAGCAGCCGAATTTGGAGAACCCTGGTCTAAGATGAGAAAGGGAAGTGAAACAGAAAGGGAATTCATGCCACAAGAGAAGGAGAAAGACAAAAATCACTCACTTGGTTTGCAGGCTCAGATTGGTTGAAAACTAATATTTTTCTCGAATATATTCTCAATGTTCCTGCCAGATTATGACTGTTGGATTTTAGAGGTACATTCCAGATTACATGTTCTACTCATGCAGAGCATTAGCTACTGTGGATTTGTTGGAACACGAGAGCTACCCCATTTCAGATCCATAAAACAGTTATGGTATTTTGTGTAGAATAGATGAAGAAATCAATAACAACAGATGAAATAACTTTTAGGGAACTTTGTTTGCCTCTTCCTGTTGACATTGCCCCCCCAAAATCTTTTAAGAAATGCCAGTATCCTTGGGATAACAGTCTCAAAATATTTGCCTTAGAGCAATTCTTTAGAATTTTTCTATTACTGATAAATTTGTTTCAGTATTATATTTGTATCAATTTCTAGGCAATCAAACAGAGCCATTTGTAATTGTGTATACCCAGACAGCAGAGCAACTATCCTTGGGTTTTTTTTTTTTTTTAATGGTTTGCATCATTGCTTGGAAGGTTGCTGTGACAGCAAATCTCAGTTGAATTAAATATACATCTTTGCATAAGGATTTTTGCAGCTCCCACATATTGCACTTTTACAGTTCAGAAGAGATGACTGAGCAGATGGGAGGGCAGACCAGTGGATATTTGCAATTTTCTGCCAAACCAAAGACATTTTTACTCTCCCAAGGGATGAGTATGCACTGATTGAAAGGTTGCAATTTGTTTATTTTTGTATGAAGGGAGGATGCTTTATTTTCACATTGCTGCATCCATGTAAGCTAAAAATTTAAATATAAGGTATCACTGAGAAGAATATGGTAGGCAAAGGGCAGCTATGCAGCACAGCATCAAAAAAAAAAAAATCATTGGGCAGCAAATTTACCTTTTCAAGCAACTGCATAGTCCTTTTAAATAGCCAGAAACAAAAGTGGGATTTTCCTCCCTCCAGTTTAATGATCTGAATAAAGCACATCACAATAGAAAGTCTAACAACCACAGTGAAGGAAATATGATGGCCGTCAGAATAAAAGCATACTTTTTATATTAAGGCTTACCTGAGGGTAACTTACAATCAATGACTCACTGCATAAATGGTTTGTGGATTGTGCTTGTCATAGTTTAGCACAGACATGTCAAACTTGTGACGTCACATGATGTCGCGCAACGTATTGGAGCTTTTTCGCAGTTGCCGGCAATGGGGTGGGCACAGCTCCGGTATGATGAAACGGGCCCATGGGCTGGCAGTTCGACACCCCTGGTAGCAGGTTGCAACTCAGAGCATCTTACACACTGGAAGTAAAATGTTATTCTCTAATATTATCCCCAGGACATAGGCAGAAGGATGCAATCATCAAAGTAACACATAAAACTGATTCCAGGGCAGGTGGTAGCACCTAGCCCAGATTGGTTAAAATTGAAGTACAGTTGCTTAGTAACCTCGTTTGTACTTGGATGGAGACTATCAGGAAATTCCAAGGCTGTAAACTAGATTAGAAAGCGAGAAAAAGTCCAAGGAGAGAATAACAAATGCTTCTAAACTGTTGCAAAGAAACTATAAACAAATATCCACAAAGTCACCCAAAATTATGCCCGATTGAAGGGAAACTTTACTTTTACCGGTACATAAAGAGAGAAAGAGATTCTTTCTTCAAGTCAATATTGACTCCTAGAGACTGCTTAGACAAGTCCCTACAATTTTGGGGGCAAGATTGTTTTGCCCTTGCCTGCTTCCTAGGGCTGAGATAAAGTGACTGGCCCAGGGTCACCCACCTGCCTTTGTGGCTAAGGTAAGACTAGAACTCACGATCTCCTGGTTTCTAGCCTAGGTTAAAAGAATGATTTTCGGTTAAAAGAATGACCCATCGAAGTAATTCTGAAATTTTAAAATGTATTTTTAAAAACCTGAAAAGAGGCATTAACATAAGTACACCCAAAAAATCAAAACATTCAGATCACAACAGTGGTCTTGTGTGTTAGTATTAATGTCCTCTGATGAACCCAAAGCCCTGTTAGTTATAGACTGACAAAACAGAAGTGAGGAAGGAATAGAATTTGCTGTTCTTCCTTTTGTTTTCTCTCATTGTTCAAAATGAAAAAGAAGGATGTTTAAAGCAGCTCAAGGGGTAATTCAATTCTTTGCACCCTTTCCTGCATGTAAGAGAGAGGTAGAGGTTCTCCAAATTCTTTGAATCCCTGCTGAACTCCCAAAATGTCTCCTGCTGTGGTCTTTCCAGTTTCAAAGTTTCTGATATGGATAAATAGAAAAATGCCATACTTGCCAATCACAGAATGTTTTTCTCCCTGGAAAACAGACAGGGTTTCTTTCTTCTTCTTCTTTTTTTTTGGGGGGGGGGGGAAGAGAAGTTTATTTTGTAAGGTGTAAAAAAATTCATAATACTGTTGAAAATTACCTTGCCTTAAAGTTCCCCCCTTTTTTTCTATCTTTTTTTAATCCTAAAAAAACCCCATAGTTATTACTTATATGTCCACTTCCTCAGTGAATTATTATTTAGGCACAGAACACTGCATTTACATTGTTGTGTGTTCATTCTACCAGAAGATAAAATACTTCATGCTGCCATAAGCAAGGGAATTAAAGGGGGAGGGTCAAATGGAGTTTTTTAAGACAGGAAAAAATAGATAAACAATGTAAGGAAATTTTCCATTCTTTCCCCCCCCCCCCAACACCTTCAAATCTTTTTTTTTTTTGAAAAAGTTTTTTTTCCATTTGTACATCATACAAAATACAATTTTGAAATAAAATAAATTCATAACCATTGGTACCGCCTGCCCATTCCCCCCAGGCCGCGTCCACCCACTCTAAAACCTTCCGTACTTCCCTCCTCTTTCTCTCCTTCCCTCCTACTCTCTTCCCCTCCCCTTCTCCTCTTACCATCCTACTTCCTCCCTACTCCTTCCTCCCCTCTCATCCCTCTCACACACATGAACGCAGCATAGGGGAAATGCCTAGGCCGCACCTTTCTTATAAACTACCATATATATATGATCCTTACCCACCCACTCTTCCACCCCCCCACCCCCAACCCCCCTCCCCTCACTTCCCAGAGCAGAATACAGGGTTATTAATGACAAAGTTGACAATAAAAAAGAAAAAGAAAAAGAAAAAAGAAAAAGAAAAAAAGAGAAAAAAAATATCATACTTAACCTTTAACTCCAATAACATCATAAACAAATCTCTATAACATTTACTATAAAATTCACTCGTAAAGTAAATGAAACTTTATAGAACACCTTCAAATCTTGAATCAGATCTGAGCCCATGCTCTATATTCCTCCTGCTTTTACTTGCTCCACCCTCACTTTATGAACAAGGTGAATTTAAAATGGTGAATAATACAGCACGTTATTAAGTAAATCAGTTTTATTTACACATATATTTACAGTATTTTCAGGAAGAAACCCTGGATTCAGAGGGTTTCCAAAGGACGTTCTATTCAAAGCGGAGATTCAAGATTTTAAAGCATCAGGATTCAATTTCAACAGATTTGGGATTCAATGTCCAATCTGACCAAAGATTCGGTTGCCATGGGGAAAGCATCAAATGACTGTAGCCCCTTTATTCTTTTGTTAGAAGGGAAAGTGCATACCAGCATTGATGGGCCTTCAGAGCCCATTAGCTCTACAAAGCCTCAACAAAATAGCAATATTTTTTTCAATTTCCTATATACATGTCTTCAGGCAGGAGTAGCAGGGATGAGGCAAAGATGGCCCAACAGCACCTGACTGAATCACAGACAGCCTGTAGGCAAGATGTGCTTGAGCCAAAATGCAGAAAATATCCCACTCCGAATAATAATAATAATAATAATAATAATAATAATAATAATAATAATAATAAAGGTTCACAATGTGCTTAACAAGTAAACTCTTACAAAATCAAAGAACCCTGATCACTTAATTTTCTGGATAACACACAGTTGTTAGTAAAACTAAAATTAGCCTCCTCTGGCTTCTCAGCTGGCTTCTGAGAAGCAAATTCAATGGGAGGAAAACAACATGATTCACTTGACTGCAGTGATTGACTTAACAACTGTGGCAAAAAGGTTGTAAAATGAAGCACAACTCATTTAACAACTGCCTGGCTTAGCAACAGAAATTGGGGGTTCGATTGTGATTGTACATTCAGAACTACCTCTATTTCTGTATGCCTTTTAAAAAACACTGTGACTTCAACATAATAAGACACCCCCCCCCCCAGTCGGTGGACTGGCACCAGTCCGCGATATGTCAGAAACCGGGCCACATAAACAAGCGAAACCCCATCTGTGGCATGCAAGGTTTTGCCCTCTGGTCCATGGCAAAACCTCTCTCCAGGGAACCGGCCCCTGGTGCCCAAAAGGTTGGGGGGTAGCTGTATTAAGAGATCTATTTTGTAGGTTCGGATTGATTATATTGATGACTCATGGGGACTTTATTAAAGCTGTGGGATACTTGTTCTCAACCTCCGCATTTAGGTAGTACAATCGCATGCCAGCTTCCCAGGTCTGTTGTGCCAAAGAAGGAAGAATTGGGAGGGGCAAAGGATATTTTGTCTAAAGATTGATACGAAGACATATAATGGATTCACAGTTATATGAATCCACATTTCAAAGGTCTGTGACAATAGGACAGAAAAAAAGTGTAATAACCACCAAGCAAAGGGGCTTAATGGCCAATAGGTGAATTTGAAATTCTGAGAGTCGTGTCTGCCTTTTAGGGGGATAGAGGGCTTGTCCATTCATCAAAAACCTCTCACAATGGCATAGCTTTTAATCTAAAGCAAAAAATCAGATAAAAGGTTGAACTGAGAAGGCATCGCTGCAGAGGCCCGAGGATGTGTGTGTTTAATATAAATTTTTATTGAAGAAATTTTTAATGAGATAAAAAGAATATGAATATTAGAAAAGAAACTAATAAGAAACAATAATGAATAAGTAAGAAAAAAATAGAAAAGAAGACAAAGAAAAAGATTATTTAAAAAAACAGCTTCCACTCTTTTAGACAGCCATTATAAATTCATTTATATTTTACTCCCCTTCTCTCCAAGGTTACATCATAATTTCCTTCTTTCCATAAGCTACCCTTTCTAATCTTCAAACCCAAGAATTCATGTTTCTCTTTTTTCAGCAAAAAGTCTATAAGCAGTTTCCAATCACAGGTACCCTATTGCTGATCTTTCTTAAATCAAAACAGTTGAATTTGCCATCTCTTATATTTCCATCCTCTTCACCAACCATTCCTCCATTGGGTATTTCAAGATGCCTAAAGATGCATGGATGGCCAGGACAATATACTGGGGCCTAGTTCTGTAGCTTAGTGTGAGGCCTCCAGATCAGATAAATTGTGATAGACTTGAAGTACTTTGCAGCACTTTATATGACACTTAAATGCTTGAATATATTTAAATGTATTAACATTGCAAATATTTGCACCATCTGAGCTCAGCTTGGTTCATAGGTAAGTTCCAAATCTGACAAAATTTCACAGATACTACTTCTGGATCATCAGTGCCATTTAATTTTGGGCACAATTCAATAAAAAAAAAAATCATAGGGCTAAGTCTATTAATATACATGCTAAGAGTAGTAAACTGCCTTGTTATTTCATAATGGAAAGCGGTCTGTGAATAAGCAATTACTTTTCTCAGAAATGAAATTAAGATAGTGTTAAAAAGATCCATTTGGTTCTGCCATGACTGTGATGTGTTCCTGATAAAGTCACAAGACAACATTCGTCCCCTGGTTTTATAACACAGCTGCACTAACATAGTGAAAAATGATGAGTGAGGCTAATAAAGTTTAACACAATGAACTGTAAACAGTGGTGGGATTCAGCCAGTTTGCACAAGTTCGGCAGAACCGGTAGCTAATTTTTTGTTGCCCAGGCCTAGAATGGACTTCCAGAAGCGGCATCCACAGAGAGAACTGGTTGTTCACATATTTGAATCCCACCACTGACTGTAAATAACTAAGCATAGATGCCATTTGCTTAACTGTACTGAAATCCAGAAATATAGCACCTATTGGTTCCAAATATTTTCCATTAAACAAGCTGAACATGATGAATCATACAGTGCGCAAAGCTAACACATGGGCTGGTTTCATAAAGCCATGTTTGTTTAGTTTACAAGAGCCAACGTCTTTCCTGGCTTTGATAAACAGTGCAAGTGATTCATTATTTTAGCATCATATACATTTCCTGTTTATAGGCGATGGTTCAAGTAACTTTATTTTTTTACAGACAGGTTTTTCCAATTCCAATATAGACATTTTTTGTGTGCCAGAGTTCCATTCCCAAGTCAATTCCATTTTTCCTAAAGCTTAATCACACTACTTTTCTTTAAAAACTGAATTTACTCACTTATCAAAACATTTTGGTTTGGGAAATGGTGCAGTTAAAATCAGTCCCAAATCGGAAGAGGAAATAGATGGCCCAATGTACAGAGTTGCTTTCCTGGGTACTACTTTATTTGTTCAACTTACTGTATCTGTCAGTCACAATTATAAAAACACAGTGAAAGTTTTACTGTTCCTTCTTCTGAGCAGTGTTCTTCCAGAACCCACCATTCCATTGCCTCCTGATAAATCCCTTCTTAAGATAGACCAGTACCTTTTCACTCCCCCGCAGAAAAGACTTTTTGGTTTTGTAATCTCTTCTGCACTATTTAATCCTGCAAAAAAGCTGACCCCTTGTCGGGCATGTCTACGTGGTTGTTTGAGAGATTCCACAAATGCTTGAAAGACAACAAATTCATATTTTTGCTGCTTTGTAATACAAGATCTAGTTTCCATTGCATCATTTGTACTATTACAGCTGTAGGCTTTAGGGTATTTGGCTGCTCTTTGAGTAAAAAAAACAACAAACCAGAACACAAACTGTGTCCACTGCATACTGGACACAGTTATCACAATTGGAATTCCTTGTGCAATAAGCAGCCACTTCACATGAGGCTGCCCAGGGCAAGTGGTGTTCTGCTGGGATTGTACAACTAGGCCTGGCTGTTATTTGTTCTTGTTATTACTGCCATGTGCAATTAGTTAATGTTTCTCAGAGTCTATGTCTGAGCTGCATGGTAGATTCCAGTAAGACACATGATTATAATACATTTTGAGACGTGGTCACAAAATCTTAGGCTCCTTAATCTTGGGAAAACCTCTAAATAAATCTTGTAAAGTTGATTACGCTCAATATCAAAAAGTTAGGAATCTGACTGGGAAAAGAAATCAAGCTTTGACTGTACCCTTAAACTAGTTCAATCCCACTAACAGGGAAATTCTACACTGGATTATCTTAGAAAACATGACTTCAAGATTATAAGAACTCTCTCTCTCTCTCTCTCTCTCTCTTTCTCTCTCTCTGTCTCTCTCTCTCTCTCTCTCTCTCTCTCTCACACACACACACACACATCCTTATAGTATACACACCACATTATTGAAAGATTCACAAGGGACATGGGGGTGAAGGAAAGAATGTGGGTTCATATTAAAATACAAGATGATCTCATTTCAAAATTTCAAACATGAACCAAACATAGTTATTTGTCAAAATGTTCTTTTTTGAATTTTGCACTCCAGTTCCCTAATGTGTATAAGAATGTATTCTGTAGACAAAAGTGTGTATGAGAAGTTATATTCATAAAATGCATTGTTTGTAAAATGCATTCGTACATAATTGGTTGCTAAATTAGCTGTCATAAAACAACGTTAGGAGAAATGGCCACACAAAATATTTTGTGGAAATTGTTTAGGCTGCAGAAATGGAATAGACTAGATGAGAGAGAGAGAGAGAGAGAGAGAGAGAGAGAGAGAAATTGTTACTTCTGCTTTTCTGTAGTTAACATACCCATTTTCATTTCCTGATAAATGGTGTGCCAATAGGTGAGCTAGATAAGCAGCTGGATGAATTTTCTTATCACCAGGCATCTTCTCTAATGCAGTGGATTTTTTTTTTTTTTCAAAATTCACATACTGCCACTCAGTACGTGAATCAGCAACTATGTATTCTGGATAATCAAATGATGCATATGCATGCCTGAATATCTCTGAATTATGTTCTATAATACAAAACTTATTAACCAAAATCAAAAGGACCCTTACATAATTGTTTGGGGATTCAGGACATCTTACAACATCTGAATCCCCAAAGAACTCTATGTAAGGGTCCTTTTTGTAGATTTCAACTCAGCATTCAACACCATCATTCCTGAAATCCTCTTCTCTAAACTGATTCAGTTAGCTGTGCCTGACCACACTTGTAAATGGAGCATAAGCTTTCTAATGAATAGGAAGCAGCAGGTGAAGCTAGGGAAAATCACACCAAACACCCCTTCCATTAGCACAGGAGCCCCCCCCCCCGGGGGGGGGCTGTGTGCTCTCTCCATTACTCTGCTCTCTCTATACCAGAGGTAGGCAACCTTGGCTCTTTTATGGCTCGTGGACTTCAACTCCCAGAATTTCTGAGTCAGCGTGGCTGGCTCAGGAATTCTGGAAGTCCACGAGTGATAAAAGAGCCAAGGTTGCCTGTCTCTGCTCTATATCAATGACTGCATCTCAAAGGATCCCTCTGTCAAAGTACTGAAGTTTGCAGATGATACAAAAGTCATTGGTCTCATTCAAGACGATGATGAGTCTGCATATAGACAAGAGGTAGATCAACTGGCCGTGTGGTACAGCCATAACAATATGGAGCTGAACACTCTTAAAACTGTAGAGATGATAATAGATTTTAGAAGAAGCTCTCCTATTCTACCCCCTCTTACAATATTAGGCAACACGGTATCAACAGTAGAGAACTTCAAGTTTCTAGGTTCTATTATCTCCAAGGACTTGAAATGGACCCCTGACATTAGAACATCATTAAAAAGGCACGACAAAGAATGTTCTTCTTGCGACAACTCAGAAAGCTTAGATTGCACAAGGATCTGCTGACACAGTTCTACAGAGGAATTATTGAGTCTGTCATTTGTACCTCAATAACTGTCTGGTTTGGCACAGCAACCAAACAGGACAGGTACAGACTTTAATGGATAGTTAGGACTACAGAAAAAATGATCACAATCAGCCTGCCTTCCACTGAGGACCTGTATACTGCACAAACCAGAAAGAGGGCTGAGAAAATATCTACAGACCCCTCACCTCCTGAACACAATCTATTTCAACTTCTCCCCATACAACATCACTACAGAGCATGCATGCCAAAACAACCAGACATAAAATTAGTTTTTTCCCCTGTGCCATCACTCTGTTTAACACTTAATTCTCATGGCACTGCCTCATTTCTCATCTTTTTTCATCTTCTCATCTTTCCTACTATCTTTTGTTGGTTTCTTATGATTTATCAATTGTTGTTTATAACTTATGAGTAATGATTGTAACTATGATTACAGCTATGATTATGACCTATGAAGGGACACAGGGCAGAAAACATCCTGCAGCCAAGAAGGCTCCACACACATTTGCACCACTCAGGTGACCCTGAGGACATAAGTGGCCTCAAAGACTCTCTAAAAGAATGCAAATGACCAGCTGTCTGCAAGGAGTATAAATCCTTCCATTCCCTACCATCCAGTATGAGCTGAAGAAGCTTCTTGGATGAGAAGTGAAATGTCTTCAAAGAAAAACAAGGAAGTCCAGTTGTCTCATGAAAAAACACCTTTGGGTTAACTATGACCTGGATGACTCAGAATCTCCATAGACATTCCGTTGTTTATGGAACTGGAGCTTAATCTTTGTTTCAGCCAATAAAATTTTTAGAGCCAAACCTAAATGTCCATGGTCCAGAGACCAACTTATCCTTCTTCTGATGAAAGATATAGCTAGAGGAAACATATGTATATGTGGTAGGAACAAGAAAGTACCGTACGATAGTACCTTATGTGCTGGGAACGAGGAAATCACATCATATCTTGCTTTCCTTGATTACAGTTTCAGGGAGCTTCCATTTTCAATACTTCTAGTTCCAGCATAAGTACTCAAAAAATAAAAATAGAGCCATTAAAAATCCTTGTATTATTATCTTTTGGATGGAATCTATTCTGCATTCAGTCACAGCTGATCAGTAAAAAGAAATATGGTATTCCATTTTGCTTATGATACTATTAAGATACAAGTTCTGTCTCTCCATATATTCACACCTGCCAGCTCTACTTCTGATTGTCACTAATTGTCACCATTAATGCAATGGTCTGGGGATTTCTAAGAACACTCAGATGAATTTACAATTTGCCTCATAACTGGCAATTTCAATCAACTGGAATACTGCAATTGGAAACCCTAAGCATGTTAAGCTGAACATGATTCAAATCTGCATTTTTTGCAGAATCTACCAAAATCAAAATGTTTATGGCTGTAGGAGATGGACATAATGAATGTATCACCCGTGGTTTCCCCACTTTTAATTCCCATTATTCATCTGAATGCATGAATAGGACTTTTATAATATCCTAGAAGTAGTTCCAGAGCAACCACCCAAGGGAGAAATGTCTTTTCAACATAGGTGCTCATTTTCCACCCACTGTTGCAAAACTGTGTGGCATGTTGCAACTTTGCTTTAAAAGTCAACTTTTGCAAAACACATATTGGGTAATCTGAGTATATCTTTATCCTTTTGTGTACACAGTGGCCTTGCCAGTCTGGTTCATATTAAAAAGAAGAAGAATTTGCCCTTGGACAAAAGTTTTGAATGAGACACAAGACAAGGAGAAAAGAAATATTTTAGATGTTCATAGAGGTATAATATTCCCAAGTTATGGATCCTGTAATTGTGTAACAGAAAGGGAGAGAGGGAAGGAGGGAGGAAAATCACCTGAATTTTTAAAATACAGCAGTGATCAAAGACTGCTTCTAAATTAACAATTTATGGTTGCAAGCCAAATGCAATTGATACTTTATAAAAAATAGATTCAAATCCTAAAAGTAATTCTATTATCAGGTTGCTAGAAGCAGACAATTGATAACCCCAGCATCAGAAAAGACATGAATACAATATGAGAATGACTTATAGGGCAAATTACTTAGACAGAACTACCATATTTTCCGGCGTATAAGACGACTTTCTAAAGCGTGGAAATCGGTGCCGAAGTTGGGGGTCGTCTTATACGCCAAGTCGTCTTATATGCCAGAAATTACTGTAGTTTCCGGCATATAAAACAACTTTCTAGGCATGGAAATCGGCGCCGAAGTCGGGGGTCATCTAATACGCCGAGTTGCCTTATACGCCAGAAAATACGGTATATCTCCACAGATCTAGTATTCTGTGAAGGAATGACCTAATATAGAATTCCTAAACTTATATACTGCATTAACCTGAAACACAATTACTTTTGAGTGTTTGTATTCATCCTGTTTTTTCAGTACAACACTGCAAGAAAAAAAAGTATTTAAAAACTATACAAGGAAAAGTACAAGGTATATTACAGAGGAAAGACCAAAAATAGTGTCTTTCATAAGAAGTGACACTAAAATGTATGCCAACTTTTTCTAGATCTTTGTTTTCAATTACAAATTGATACAGACGCTGAACAAAATCACTTTGATCAGAAAAAGGAGAACTCAATTCAAATTGATTTGCATTTCCTTATTCTTTATGAAATATTCTATTCTGTTGATGTGAGATCTGGGAATCAAATTTCAGATTACTGTTTTGCCCAATTACTTGATTCAGATGAAAAGGTTCAAAATATTTTTATGTGAATTAAGTGCATTACTAATATAATGTAAGGCCCCAAACTCTAATTTTTCTTGGATCTAGAATAAACTTCCACTGAAACATTAAAATGCAGCCTTGAAGTCTGTTTATGCCATCCATTTTTATATACATCAAACTTTTACCAAGTTTCCTATAAAAAATGAGAATTTTAGTTCGCTGAAAATAAATTCCTATAATTACTCAGCCACTTGCTCTTCAGTATGAAATTATAATAGGGTAAACTATCTGTAAATGAGGTTTTGATGCCAAGACATATACCCCAAGTAGCTCTTCAATAAGTGTATGAAGTCAAAACAAAGAAAAGGGTCAGACTGGGACAAGAAAATACATTTAATTAAAATTAACAGCTTAGTATACTGTAAATACTTCCTGTGATGTATTCATTTCCCTTTTTTGTCATATTTAAAATTCCCAAAGTAGCAACATTGAGAAGGCTCTTTGATTCACACCTGTATGGTGATTTAATCTTCTTACCTTTCTCTAGCTTGCTTCAAATCTTGTCCCCTTGACCTGTTGACAAGGAAAGTGAAGAGTACTGAAGCTGTAAGTTATTATGGCTGGCACAAATGAATTTTTACTCTGAGCTATTTTAAGCCTGACAAATATACTGCAGCGAGCTTATCAGGATATGCTCAGAATGCTGAAGGAACACATGTGATGTTTTCAGTCACTCGTGTTTTATATTAAACAAAAGATTTTTTTTTATATAAAAGAGAAAGATGGCATGTCAAAACAAACACAAGCAAAAATGAGAGCAAGATAAACAAATCGTGGTTGGTATAGCTAGAAATGCTATTTTGTATCCTGTGAGTAACAAAACATAGTTCTTACTTCCACTACTCCTGAGAAGATTCAGCTCTGTGTCCATGGACAAGAAGCTGAGCCCTATAGATTTACAGACATTTGCAATCAGGGTTCTTGGTGCTCTCTGAGCTTCCTTGTTTTCTTGCAGACATTTCATTACCTCAACTAGGTCACATCATCAGTGCTAGCACTACACTACATTACAACACTAGCACTGATGATATTACCTAGTTAGGGTAATGAAATGTCTGCAAGAAAACAAATAAGCTCAGAGAGCACCAAGGATCCCTCATGTCAACCGTGAGCTACAAATATTCTCCTTTATTGGCATTTGAAATCACTTTGAGGCCTAATATACCTGGTCCAGAATGTGGTCACATGGACAGTGATGGGGGTGTCACATCATCATCCATGGCTTCACAAGCTGCACTGGTTACCAGTTGGCTTCTAGGAGCAATTCAAGGTGCTGGCTATCACTTGTAAAGTCCTTCAAAGTTTAGAGACTGGCTGTTTGAGGAATCACTCATCTCTGTCCATCTGATATGGTCCAACAGGGTGGATCCACTTCAAGACCTGTCAACTAAAGAATGTCAAATTGTGGGATTCAGAAAACACGCTTCCTTGTTGGTATTCCTGTCCTCTGGAATGATTTCCCCTCAAAGATCTATGTGGCTCCCACACTTCTATCATTCAGAAAACTTTGAACATCTGATTTTCCCAAGCCTTGCAGATAGAGTAATTGTGGAGTTCCCTTTTGTCTGTTTAGTTGCCTAGTTGTAAGCTCTCTAGAGCAGGGGTGGGGACTTATGGCCCTTTTATGATCTGTGAACTTCAGCTCCCAGAATTCTTGAGCCAGCATTGGGGCTGTAGTTCCACACCTGTGATTTAGAGTCATTGAGGAATCAGGCAGTATATAAATCAAATAAAAATTACACTGAATAAAATTTAGTCCTGCCTTATACAGGAAACCTAGCTTGGTTAGTCATTCCATCTCTGCCTTAGGAAGAAGGCAAACAACTTCTGAAAACAAAGATAGCAGAAGAGAAGAGGAAAAAAAACTGGAGAAAAATCACAAAATACAACTGGAGCATCACTCAAACAAGATCAGCAGTGGCAAAATCACAAGAAGTGAATTGCATAAGGCAGCTTTACTTGGAACAGTTTACATTCTACGACAGTGATGGCGAACCTTTTAGAGACCGAGTGCCCAAACTGCAACCCAAAACACATTTATTTATCACCAGGTGCCAGGTGGCATGGCGCACTGGGTGGGCGTGGCTGTGGTGGTCATGGGAGATTGGATGGGTGTGGCCAAGTTGGACGTGATCACTTCAATGTTGCTCGTGGGAGGGACGCCTGTGGGGGCTGGGCAGGGTTGGGGTAGATCCCGGGGGTCTCTGGCAGGTGGGATGGTGGGCAGGAGGCTTGTCCTGCTGGGTGAGGCGAGGCAAGGCAAGGCAAGGCAAGGCAAGGCAAGGCGGGAGTGCCATTGTCACAGGGCAAGGTGAGGCCGGGGCAGCTGCTGCCTGACACCATCAGCCCCTGCACACAGAGGCCAGTGAGCGCATTGGTGCTGGGATGCACCCGGCCATGTGGACCTCGGCGAGTTAGTGGGCGGCTGAAGAGGGACAATTGCCATCTCTGGGGCATGGCGTGCGTGCCAACAGAGAGGGCTCTGAGTGCCGCCTCTGGCACGCGTGCCATGGGTTCGCCATCACTGTTCTACGATGATACATTTAATAACATCAAACAACATCTGGTCCTTGAGAGGGACTTGACAGGTGGCTAAAAATGTCAAATCCAGTCTAAACATCTGGTTGACTGTGACCAGTCAACATCATTATCATTGCAAAATCTGAAAATAAATGCTTTGTTAGTGCATTTCTTCAACAATGTTGCATAATAAATGTCTGGTTTTCAGACAAGGGGCATGATCTCCCCATATAATTACTTCCTATATATTGTTAATGTTGCAATCATTTTCAGGCTTCCTGGCTAAGACATTTCAAAATTGTAAAAGTAGAAGCTGAACTCTCAAACTCTCAAGAGTACCAAAGCAAGCAAACCAACAAACATACACAAAGAGAGAGAAATACCCCCCTCCCCAAAATACAAGAACAACTATAGAAATACAAGGACTATAACTACCCAACTTGATTTTATAAAACTGTGATTTATTGTCTAAAGTGTGTCTAAACTGAGATGGGCTGTTTTGTGGTTCAGTATAATATGTTAAGGAAGCATAACCACTATTCCGGGCAAATGAGGAAAACAATACGGTTTCAAAAAGAGAAAAATAAACAGGGAAAAAAATTGGCCTGTGGGGGAGAAAAACCAACAAAAGCTAATGTCAGAAGAAAACAGATGATAGACTGAAAAATTGCAGTTAACTAGCCTCAAATCATATTGACACTATGTAAGAAATAAATAAACGAGAACTTTTATGAATTTTGAACATATGAAGCTATCGGTTAAAATACAGGAATCATATTTTCCCCTTCAAATCTGAGTCTTTGTAAAGCCTTTAGAGGAAACCAGACGACTGAAGGCATTAGCACCTTCCCCAACAACATGGTAAAGTGGACATAGACAACCATGTAATTCAGGGCTCTTCAAACTTGGCCCTTTTATGACTTGTGGATCTCAACTCGCAGAATTCCTCAGCCAGGCATGCTGGCTGAGGAATTCTGGGAGTTGAAGTCTACAAGTCATAAAAGGGCCAAGTTTGAAGAGCCCTGATGTAATTGGTTGCATTCTGCATGATGTGTCACTTTTTCTGCAAGGCCATAGCGTCAGGTATAAAGCCAATAGCTATGGCACTCTTCTCTCCTCAAAGGTAAGTCACAGCAGAATGCCACAAACAATTGTTACAAAACAGTTCTTTATTGTATTTCCTACATGCAGGGGTCTGAATCCCCTGCTCCAGTCAGACATATTTCTGTGACTGGAGCAAGGGATACAACCATATTGGATAGCACAACCAATGCTTATAAGAGCAAAAGGATAACAAAACTGATGCAGAGGAAAGGGCAGAAATAGCAAAGCTATGAAAGACAACAACACTGTATATAGGTAGAAGGTAGAAAGAGAGGAAAAAAATAAGATACTGCTAATTATAAAAATCACAACTAAGGTCCTAAGTGCAGGGACATTATTTACAGTCAGAAAAGATTCTGTAAAAGAAGTAAGCATAGGGAAATGAAATGTCTGAAACTTAATCAGACAAACACAAGTTCTGCCAACAAAAATGTGAAAGGAGAGATGCCCTGGAAAAAATAAATTGCAAATCAGAAAGTTCCTAATAAAGAAGAAAACTAAGACAAAAAGCATGAAGGAAGGCAGAAGGGAGTATTATAAAATTATCATGAAAAAGTGGCAGGTTGTCAGTGACAATCTGGCAAAGCAGAAGTAATGTTTTTGGTATAAATTATTCTTATAACAACCCAAGTTTGTTATAGTTTGAAAACAGAAGAGCAAGTGTTACAAACAATAAATGTATAATGGCGTTAATTACGTTGACAAATGTCACCACGCCTAGAAGATACAATTAGCTTTCCACTATCATGGAGGATACAGTAGTATGTTGGGTTCTGGTTGTAAAAAAAAATGTGAAATATTTTTATAATAAGAACAGGGAGAAAGAGCAGGGAGCAGAGAAAAAGTAAGATTTAAAAAAACATTTGCAACTAGAGTGATGTAAAAATTGGAGGGAAACAGATAAGTGTGGATATGAGAAGCTAAAGATATTTTTTTAAAAAAACCTATAAAAAATTGTAGATTTTTGTACAGACTGGAAAAGCACAACTCCAGGTTTGGATATGGCCAAGATACCTTGAGTGCAACCCCCAGAGGGCCTCCAGAAGTTGCTACCAAATTGTAATTTTTAATGGGACACAATAATGCAAGAGAACCAACATAGCGTAGAGCAGTGATTCTCAACCTTTCTAATGCCGTGACCCCATAATACAGTTCCCCATGTTGTGGTGACCCCCAAGTGGGTGTGGCCACCAATAAGAGGGAGTAGGACAGCTAGGGAAAAGGGAAAAAAATGGCGGACAGCGTGGTTTGGTGACCCCCGTGAAATGGTCATTCGACCCCAAATGGGGTCCCGACCCACAGGTTGAGAACCACTGGCGTAGAGTTTAAGATATTGGACTATAAACAGGGAAACCCAGTTTTTAATTATCTTATTCAGGGAAGCTACTGACTCCTACCCTAAGCCCCTAATCAGCAGCAGATTCTGTGACAAACCAGAAGAAATATAAAAGCCCCTCACTGGATTTATACTATCTCTGTGAGAAATAGTTGAATGCAGGGCAAAAATAAGTGGACTTTGCAGCCAAGTGGGAAAAACGCTGAGAAGATCCACAACAAGGGGACAGAGAGGGAAATTACTAAGCACATGAGTGGGAGTAGTCACATTAATCTTAATTAATTAATTAAATTGTAATTCAGCTGAAATGTAAATGGAATGGCATATAGTTTTTCTCTAGTCCTAGCATTTTGAGGACTACAGCTGCAGCATGTCCTTCTCTGAAAAACGTTGCATATCCCTGTTATAAGAGTAACAAGAAACTTGTAAATTGTATAAAAGTAGTTCAACAGTAAACATAACATTCAGGCTGCTTATATCCCAAAAGACAGAAAAATATCAACGGCAAAGAAGGGAGGATGTCAAATTTCTTTATATATCTAACAAAGAGAAGGATGCGTTAGAAATAAGAGTTGTACAAAATATTGAATTATTTTATGGAAAACTAAATGGCAATACTGTATTTCTCTTCCTGTATTAAGATGTCTAGTTGTTCCTTTCCTTTCTGATACAATATTTTTATAGAGAGAATGAAATTCTTGGGTCATATAATTTGACATATTCTTTCCTGTATTTATCTGCAACTTAGTGACTTGGGAGTAGACAATACACTTGGAATTTACCTGTGATGGTGGTTAACAGCATCAAGTTTCTGGGTGTGCAGCTAACAAATAGCTTAGCTTGGTCACTCAACAGTGAGATACTGGTGAAATGGGCATAGCAGCGCCTGCATTTTCTGCATCGCATGAGAAAAGTATACCTTATAATAATAATAGTAGTAGTAGTAAAGTTGGAAGGGACCTTGGAGGACATCTAGTCCAACCCCCTGCTCGGGCAGGAAACCCTACACCATTTCGGACAAATGGCTGTCCAGTCTCTTCTTAAAAACTTCCAGTGTTGGAGCATTTACTGCTTCTGGAGGCAAGCTGTTCCACTGAGTAATTGTTCTCACTGTCAGGAAGTTTCTCCTTAGTTCTAGGTTGCTTCTCTCCTTGATTAGTTTCCACCTGTTGCTTCTTGTCCTGCCTTCAGGTGCTTTGGAAAATAGCTTAATTCCCTCTTCTTTATGGCAGCCCCTGAGATATTGGAATACTTCCTTCCCCTGTCCTTACCACTATCTAAAGAGGGACAATCGAGAGCATCCTGTCATATGGCATCACTGTCTGGTTTGGAAGTATCACTGCATCAGACAGGAAGATGGTGCAAAGAGTGGTGAGGATGGCAGAAAAGATTATTGGCAGTTCCCTCCCTTCTGTCCA